TCTTCTTATTGCTTAACTTGAGTAACTCTCACAGATGTTATCTGCCTCCCTGGTATATGACAGTTGATATTGGTTTTTGCCTGGAGTTGGTGTTTTATAGAGTATGATTGTAGTTTGACTGTATGGCAGCAGTTTCTGTCTCTTCTTGGGCAGAGAAAGAGTCCCCCAACCCCCAAAGACAGAAAGGCGAGCATAAGACAGGGAAAAAAAAAAAAAAATCACTAGAAACAACAACAGTAACAACACAAAAACAAAACAAAACTGTAGCCTAAGATGAGTATGACTTTAATGCCCTCTTTTAGCTTCTTGCCTTCAAATCTGTCTGATAGATTTCAAGATGCTACTATTGGTTGTTGTGCTATACCTCAGAATTTAATTTAATTTTTTGCCTGTTTTGTTTTTAAACTCTTCTTTCCCTCTCCTAACCCCTTTTTCTGGCTTTTTTTGTATTAAAAAAACAAAAACAAAAAACAGTTCAGGGCCTGCTCTTGGGCTGAGTATTTATACACATGCGTGGCAGAAGAACCCATCAGTGAGGGTGAGGGTCACCATTCGCTCAGGTACTCCCTCTGGTCACCAGATTGAAGGTATGCAAAAAGCGGGTGTTGGGGGTGGGGCAATGACCAGATACCAAAAAAAGAAAGAAAATCAGGACAAAGCAAAACCAACATAGTGTGTTGTTCACCTTTGCTCCAAGGTTCCTGTGGCTTTTTTTCCATGGTGTTTCTGATCCCCCACTTGGTCTTGCCATTAGTTGTTGGCTCCGGGCCTTTGAGCCCGGCAGATTCAAAAGCATGCAATTTCTTACATCCGCTTCAAGTTCCACTCGCTATAAGCCTTCAAACTTTTAAAATAGTCCTATCTATATGTGTCCGAGCCCTGAAGCTCTGCCCTGAATCTGCTTTGTCTGATATTCTGTGGTATTGTTGATGGAGAACCTCACTGCACCTCTACCCTAGCTGCTGCCATCAAGCCACGCCTCACCAAGACTTCTTAAGGCCCTATAATTTTGAATGTTGTGAATCAAGAGTCTTTTCCAGCCAGACTGTATTTGCACATAGAAATAAAGCGATAAGAGATCAAGAAAAGTGTCAAATAAGATACATTAATAGTGTATGATATTGCCAAGAATAATGATAATTATATTTCGTAAAGATTAACTGTAATTCAGATAATCTCTGTGTTGATTGTAGAGAGTTCCTACTCTTTCCCAAAACTTTCATTAAATTTATCACAGTAATTATATGAAGAAGTTATTTGTTGAAGCATATGAAAATTGAAACATTTGTATATATCAGCTAATAATTTCTTTTTCTTTTACCCAAGATGGGGTTTGTGAAAGTTATAGCTATTATTTTAAGGACTACCCCCATCTGTACTCAGTGGGAGATGGATTAATCATATAAGTCATCAGTTCCCAGACATTTACTGGGGTCGGTGGAATAAAAGGTTGGATGTATGTGTTTGTACATATAGGCATTTATTCACATGTTTATATATTCATACACATCGTAGTGTTTACAAATTGGGCTGCGAACCACAGGGTCAGCAGTTCGAAACTACCAGCTGTTACGCTGGAGAAAGATGAGGCTTTCTGCTCCTGTAAATATTTACAGCCTCAGAAACCCTGTACAGGGTCGCTATGAGTTAGAACCGACTCCATGGCATGTAACCACCACCACCACACAGGTTCTTACCCTATTTGTTGAGTATTTTCCTTAAAGTATGAGTCCAGACAGAGGAAATAAACAATCTCAGCATGACTAGCAAGAGAAAAGAAGCATATGGAGTTAACGGCCTGGTTTCCTGGGACTCGGAGGTTTTGGAACAAGAAGGTCACTGATTCTTAAGCAGAGCTGAGCAGGTTTCCAGATGCAGGTCAACTGGAGAGTTCATCTGAGCAGGGAATAATAAAGCAGGGAATAAAGGTCTTAAGAGAAAGAATGCCCAGCTTGTTCGCATGTCTCCCTTCTTTCAAACATCAAGCTCAGATGTCACTTCCCTTCCTAGAAGTGGAAAGACTTTAGAGTCAATGAAAGTAAAATGAATAGGAAAAAAGTATTTTTAATTCTAGAAATGTGAAAAGAAAAAAAATCATTATAAAGAAGGAAAGGTGCATAATTTGACTCAGTTGTGTGTAAGAATTGTAAGCTCATGGTAAGTAAAGCATAGACTATGGATTTTAAGGGGGGAGGGGTAGAGGATAAGAGAATCATCTGGGAAGGTGGAACAGGATAAGTAGAGTGAGTATGTCTTAGTTACCACAGTGAGAAATCAACAGAAGTGCATAGTAGTATTGAAAATACAGAGAGAAGACATGGTGAAACGAGTTGACACTGACTAGATGAGGGGAGAGATGACGACTGTTTTTTATTAAAACTTTTGGCCTTACTTGATTTACATTCACACATCGTACTGTATCAAATTTTAAAGCTAATTTTTAAAAGAAGCCTGCCACCCTCCCACCAGGAGCCCCCCTCTTTACTAGCCATTTTAGTCCATGCCCCATGTCTGCCTCCCAGCTTTCTTGACTGAAAGGACTGTCTTAATCATCTGTGTCCCTGTTTAACACCTGATAACTACTTCTCAGCTGTGATTTTTCAACTGAATGGTTAGAATTAGAGGCTAATGTTAAATCCTTTAAAAATAGGAGCTACATTTTCCAGGAACAATACTAACAACACTGATCAATATTATTGTATACCTGGAAACCCTAACACCTCCAAACCCCTAAAGCCTGACTTTTTCCCAGCCATGGTGTTTCACCTGTTGCCATACTTACTGGATTTGTCCCTTATGTCCTGCTTCCCTCATCCCCTTTCTAGCTGTCCCTCTTTACTTCCCGCTGAGATGACTGATGGTAAATATGCTAGTGTGTTTCTTTGCCTCAGTCTGTCTCTATTCTGCACCAGCCTTCCCACCATCCCTCTCTGTCACCCCAAACATTCTACCCTGCCTCAGGGGTCAGCCCAGACTTTTCAGTGCTCTACTTTTGCTGCCTTCTTTCAAGAGCTGTAGTGCCCCTCTGCCTCTTCTAATCCAAGGCCCTCTGTCTGGCCCTCCAGCTTCTCCATTAGCTGTCTCTTGGTCAATTCCAAATCACTTCTCCTTGTCATCACTAGGGGATGCAGCAGGTATAGACACAGTCAGAGGGAGTGACACCGAAATGACCTCAGGGCTGGCAGTTGCTGTGAACTGCCCTGTGCTGCAGTGGGCAGGGTTACCAAGGCAGTGATCTGATTAGGTTTGATGCCTTCTATCCTCCAATGCAAGAACTCAGCCCTGCCATTTCCCCTTATAGTCCCCCAGTGAAGTAACTCATCACCCTCCATTCACCCACCAATCAGTTTGGAGCTTAGGATGCAGCTCCCACCATTAGGTAGAGAGGAGGAGCCTCCGCCTTGCCAGTGGGAGAGGGAAGTAGCTGGGGGTGGGATGAGTGGGACAGGCAGGGCAGGGTTTTGAGGGGCAGAACTCACTAGGCCCTATGCATGGGTACAGTAGGGCCAGGCTACTTTGCCTTCAGGAAGTTGGGGGTTGGATTGGGGGTTCATTGGGCAGCCCTACCCAAATGGGGGAGATGACACCATGATTTACTACTATACTGAGTGAAGCCAACCCTAGTATTACCCCTGTCTTCTCACGCCTCCCCTCGCTCACTGCCCCTTTACGTAAAGCCAGGCTCATTATTACATCAGACTTATTCCTCTTTCCCCTCAAAAAGACAAGAGTATCCTCATGGCTTGGGAATGTAATTTTACTATTGAGACAAATACAAAGAAAAGATTCTTCATGTATTTGATCAGTAATTTGCTGTTGTCTCTTTTAGTTTTCTACCCTAGAAATAGCCTGAGGTTCTCCTCCATATTAAAATCAACATTTCTAAATAGAAAATGCTTTCTTTACCAAAAAAAAAAAAAAAAAAAAACATTTTATTTCCTTTTATTAAGTGAATATGGATTTAAATTTTGATAGATTAAGAATAAAATGGGTTTATGTAAACTGTGCTTTTAAACAAATAATTGAAGAGCCTGATATTTTTAAAGAAGCTCAGACAGTCTGAATAGTACTTTTCATGTAAAAAATTATTTTCCTGCCTTTGTACTGCAGTTTTAAATATGTCTTAATTTTATTCTAAAGGACTATTTTCTCCTTTTCTTTAACTCAAGCCATGTAGAGAACTCATTTGATGAAGTATTAAGGGGCCTAATTGTTTAATGGCAGAAATTAGTCCCTCTAAGAGTACCTTAACAACTGGCATTACTACAGATTCTTTAGAAGAATCTATTTCTGTATGACAGGATAATTGGTTATAAGTAGACAGCATTGGCTATAATTTAAACCCAGCTTCTAATTTCATCCATGGTTGTTTTTGTTGTTGTTGTTTTCTTTTTTAACAAACATAAGTGGCTAATTGTAATCAAATTGGTCCCCTTGATGAAACAATTGACTACTTATCCCTGATTTTCAAGATTAAAGTGATTTAAGACACCAGCAGTTAGTTTCCTACTAGCCTGCTGCCTGCAGATCACCAGAGTCATTCATCTCTCATGGTAGACATTCCATAATGAGATGATCAATATACAGTTTAGATTATATTGGTTTCCTTGGAAGAATTAAGGAGACTTCTAAAAAAAATCCAAGCCAAAACAGAGATAACCAGCCACCTCTGCCAACGGGTTAATCAACCGACTCTAGGTAGCCCTGTATAGGATTTTCGAGGCTGTAAATCTTTGTGGGATCAGAAAGCCACATCTTTCTCCCATAGAATGGCAAGTGGGTTTGAACTGCCAACCTTGTGGTTAGCTGTCCAGTGCTTATTATATTATACAACACCAAGAAACAGAGATATATTTGTCTAAAGAGAAAAATTGGTTTGGGTCTGGTTGAGTAAGATAATTGTCTCAAATCTCTGGACTTTCTACGTAGAGATGGTTTATTTGTTTAGGTAATTATATTTATGCAATATGCTCACTCTGTTTTACTCCTCTTTATTTTAGTGGTGCAATCTATGCATTGACTTGGTAGCATTCACCAGTGAAATATTCAAGGGAGCCGTTTTCCAGTCCTTGGATGGAATTATTGTCTCAGCTAACTGTAAGCTACGGAAGATCTTCACTTTAAAATCAAAGCCTCAAGACACTGCTGATAAAGATGGTAGGTTCAAGTTGCTGTCAACATTTTGAAAGTTCCTGATGTGCTTTTAAAATGAACAATGCTTTTGGATAGTATGAGTACTTGAGTACATGGTAGCAATTTGAATTTATGGTTACACATTGGGCTATTAACTGCAAGGTCAGCAGTTCTTATCTACCAGCCACTCTGAGACTTTCAGCTTCTATAAAGTGTGAGTCAGAACTGATTCGATAACACACCACCACCACCAAATTAAATTTGGGAGTCCAGTGGATCTGTCGATAAGCACAGGACTGTGAACCACTAGGTCAGCATTTGGAACCCACCATATGCTCTGCAGTAGAAACATGAGACTTTCTGTTCCAGCAAAGGTTTACAGCCTAGGAAACCTTATACAGCATCTCTATGAGTCTAAACTGACTCAGTGGCACTTAATAACAACAACAAATTAAATTTATCTGCAGTCATATTGATTTTATTTTTCTAGATCCAAAACCCAAACCCACTGCCATCAGTTCTAACTCACAGTGACTCTTTATAAGATTTTGGAGACTATAATTCTTTACGAGACCACATAGCTTTATCTTTTTCCCTTGGAACAGTTGGTAGTTTGAGCTTCGATCTTGCAATTAGCAGTCCAGTGTTTAACCTACAGTGCCACCAGGGATCCTTTTATAGGTCATATATTTATCGCTGAAAGTGAAGAGGACTTGAAACATTTACTTATGAAGATTAAAGAGCACAGCCTTCGATATGAATTGCATCTCAATGTCAAGAAAACAAAAATCCTCACCACTGGA